TTGTAGAGGCAAACACCTGGTCTCACGATCCTATAGACCCCTAGACCACACACGAACTCGCCCCGCATCACTCGACACACGGACGGGGCATGCAATTCCCACATCAGTGGGAAGCGTGTTCTCTGGTGAAAACTGCTGCCCGACCAGGAAATGTGTGGGACACATAGACGGATTGCCACAGATCTGCCAACCATTGCGCCCAATTCCATCACCAGATTGCTGACAGGTTCGGACAGTAGACTGGGCCATGGACGGGGGACGAACGAGTGAGGTCGGCACTGGGAACCCCTCCTCACGACACACTGGCGCACACCTCATTAAAATAAATCTGCCGCGCTTTGAAATTATCACGATGTGCTAGGAGTTGTGGCTTGGGAGGCTGCCAGCTAACAGGATAACTCGATCCTCGTGGTGAGCACTGTCAATTTATGCGGGGTAACCGACTGACGGACTGTCGAATCACAGGGTGACACATTCCTCTCAGTACGGAGAGTAAGCCTCAATAAGTCCTTGTTATAAGACCTCCGTGACACTCCTACTTTGATGGGATGTGGGTTGCCCCTGCAGACGCCTGGTACATGTAGTGAGGCGTGTGGACGGACCCTGTCGATTTGCCACACATTGCGCCTGACTCTGTCTTGTCACCGGACCCATGTGTGGATGAGGGAGAAGGGGATGCGGTAGATGCTGCACAAATGTGCTACCACTCTAGACTGCCTGATGCGCAAGTCACCGGTCTGCTGTGGCACACACACACGATGGGCATTGTCGTTTGCAGCGATTAACTGTCGTTGGACAAAATTCAATGGTGAGGTTTGGGCTGTAATCTTTTATCTCATTTTTTTTCATGTAGGCACACATGGCTGAGTTGGCCCATGCGATCATCCAATGTTCTGGGACAGTGCGTGAGCAGGGGAGGCGGGAGAGATGGAGGTAAGTTGGGGCTCCTGATACTGGTTCGCCAGCCTCAGTGCAATGGATCTGCGAGTGGCCGATTGCATTCGCTACAATACAGGAAGTATATGTGTTCGGCTGGAAATACGTGCGTTATTTACCCCCGGGCCTATTACTTCACCGAATGTGACAGTGTACTAGGCAGGACGCGGGAACACGACTCACCATATTCTGGGCATCTTGCCCTTATTTGCGGGGAGATTAGAGTTAGTGACAGGGTTAAGTTTCATGTTCGAGCTAATGGTAGAGGGGCGCTCATGGACAGTTGTTACGGAACTCATTCGTTCAGTTGTACCTTACGGGCTCTCGCTCTCGAACCCGACCAGCAGTCGCACTGCGGCCCATGATAGGGGCGGAATTTTACTACCGAAAAAGACAATGGAGACTGGAGTGGTCATTTTTGGTTTATAAGACGTCGTATGGAGCCCGTTGTGTGTATTACCCGAAGTGTGGAACACCTGCGGCTCGATCCCGCGACGGCTGACGACGGCCAGTGAGCCAAAAATAGTCATTCCAGTCCGCCTTGTCTTTGTCTGTAATAACATTCTGCCTATATCATGCGCCGCTGCGCGACTGCTGGTTGGGCTCGAGAGAAAGAGAGCCCCTAAGGCACAACGGGACGAGTGAGTTCCGTAAAAACGATCGATGAGCGCCCCTCTACCACTGTACATTCCCGATCACAACCGACAGGACGTCGAGCCCGTGGCTCAGTGGTTAGATGTGTTGGACTTCAAACCAACAGGTCGCGGGATCGAGTCCCAAGTGTTCTACACTTCGGATTGGCTATTATTGGCTGACGACGGCTAATAAGCCAGAAATTGCCATTTCAGTCTCTCATGTCTTTGTCGGTAATAACATTCTGTTAGAGTTAAGTTTAAGCTTAAGTATAGGGCCATAGTCAAGTTATGAGTGAGGGTTGGGTGCAAAAGTATTCAGCGTGAATGAGGATGACTCGAGTCCAAGTTGTGGTCTGGAATATTGATCACCAAAACTTCAATAATCTGCTGAACAGGGTGTTGGAGAAAGTCCTCGGATACGAAACAGCGGAAGACCTAGGTCAACTTCCAAGAAAGGGAGTTTGTCGACAGGATATGGTTGGATATTTGGGCTTCAATTGCACGTGGACTGGAGATAGGAATGAGCCTCGGTCTCAAAATTTGAACCGTGTAGAGAAGTTCTTCTTTGGCAGTAATGCTCTACGCATGAGCAAATAACATCTGTTACCAGAGCAAGTAGCGATTGGGCACGAACATAAGTGCTCCGTATTACAGGTGACCCCTGCACTAAATTCCCGTCTCCTATTCTTAACCCCTAGCCCTCCTATTCTTAATCCTAACACTACCCCTAACCGCAACTCTAACTGCCCTGTAATTTAGCGTCAGGCCAGATGTAATATGCGGGGAGGGGGACACTTATAGCTGTGCCCTGCCCCAAAATCCGGTAAAGAAGGTTGCTCGGATGTCGGTCTCAGTTGAGAGGCAGATCGTGTCTTTCCAATCTGTTGAAATGATTGCTTGGCAGACGAAACAGCGATTTCGCAAAGCCAATGGCAGATGATGTTGAGTGAGAAGGCGTAGCAATTTTTTGCCAACGCTTAAGTGCACAGAACAACAGCCGACAACTCAACCGACTTCTAGAAACATGTTTTTTGACTTATAAAAAGTTTAAAGCACCATTCAGTTTCATAGGTCGTGCGACGGGGTTATTTATAATGACAAGACAACCGTGCAACTTTTGTGTTGCATCTATCTTGAAAAAAAATATCAGGGGAAATCAGTTTGCCGAACCCAGTCTGGCTATTTGAAACAAAGAGAGATTCCAACGAGTGCATGTTCTGGAATCTGTGTTGATGGCTCACGTTTATGAAGCTCAGAAGCTCAATGCCATTAAATAAAAGGACGGTGTCTGACTATGGAAGCCCATGTTTTTAATATTAGAATATGTCCACTTAATTGACTTTGATATGCATGATGTATTAAGGTTATGCTTCTGACTAGGCCTAAGAAGATAATTAAGTCTAGGGTTAAGGCTGCAGTTAGGTTCAAATCGGGGTTTAGGTTAAAGATTAGGGTTAGGGAACTAGTGAGGGTTGGGGTTAGGCTAAGGGTTAATTTCGTTTGCCACATACCGTCTTACTTAATCCGGCCTCCTTTAACCAGTAACCCTAGAGTACTTGTTTTCCGCCCGTATGCTTACCCTTAATTCACACCTTTCAAACTTCGTGGTCTGTTCCGGCACCTCGCTGACAGAAACGCAAGATTTCTTAATGCCTTCCACGGGCTCCGTTAAGTGCCGCGCCCGTTCTCCCTATTGATAAAAATAATACACTAATATGTCCTCAATTGCGGAAGTTGCGCTTCAGAACTCCCCACGAAAAGTGAAAATCCGCGAAGTGAAACCACTTGTGTTATTGTTACGTTTACGTGTTTTAAGCCCTTATAAACCATCCTGCATTCTTATAGAGCTTTGGCACGCAGTTTGACAGTATGAACGCTTTATAATCAACTAGATATAAGGTAAGATTTGCTGATACGAAGAGCTAGAACATGCACGATATAGTATCCTGACTGCACGTGGTCGACTACAATAGTAGTATTGCTAGAGATAAATTAATTTTAATAAAAAGGCCTCAAATCTGGTTCGGATGAGCAATTAAACATTACCTCGAAATGTTCCGCCGGTAAGAAATTTTAAACCGAACAGTGAATTGCGTCGTCTCGCACAGCAACGTGTTGCAACACTGGTCGAAAAGAGTTAGTAGTACTTCTTATTGTTGTTGACAGAAAAACTGACTGAGTTAGAGATTCCGGTGTGGGCTCCTGTCGCCTAGATTTGACATCCTAGGAGTAGAAAGTAATTATCTGCCTTTCCAGCGATCACGCCTTTAGATAGACAATCAAAAGCAATATCCGCGACCTCTTCAAAAGAATTACTCACTATTTTGTAGTTCTTCATGACACCGCCGCGAACATGATCTTCAAATTTATTAGATATAAAACACCAGAAAGTGTATGATTCATTCGTATTTATGAGCTGCTTTTAGCAAACAAAGTCTTCTGTTAAAGTGATGACCGAAAAAGCCTTTTATATTTCGCGGGCAAATTATGTTTTTATCCAACCGTATTATTTACTACTTTATGTATATAAATTAATCAAATTATAGAATAGCTGGATACCACGTCAGAAAAAGTGGAAGTTATTTTTCGTTCCATATGGTATTTTTATCCACAGAAATGTTTGTATTGTGGGACCACATATTCACTGCGAGCTTGAGACCCAAATAAAACAGTGATAGGACCAGGGATGTAAGAATTAACTGCCCAAGATGGTTGACCAAACTAACTACAAAATCAAAAATTACCCCTTTAAAGTATGTCAGTTTGGTCGAGCTAATCTTAAAAAATGTATCGATCGAAGCCGAGGCAAACGGTTATTTATTTCAATCGAGTATGGCAGTCATAGCAACACGCTGCTCCTCAAGTATAACAGACAATACTCTATTCCAACTTTATTGACATGAGAATTTGGAAATAGATCTAATTTTCTTAACATAATTGGAAAACTTATTCAGGACTCAAAGGCCAAGACATATTCTTCCGACTTTTAAGTGACCCATGATCGGTTTTTTTAAACAGAGAAGGACGCGAAAAGCAATAGCAAAGACTACGGTAGTCGGAAATGCATTACGAAAACGAAAATTGCCATCTGTCAGAGTTCAAGTTTCATATTGTTCTGACGTATTCGTTCGACAGCTCATAGAAGTGCTATATTTGTAGGGCCTTTAACGGCACCCCAGATGTTGCGTTGCACGGCATTCTGAGCCATCGTCTTCAGTAATAACGGAATTGATATCTTTATTATCTGTGATACTGAACCGGACCGGCATAAGCGTAAAGAGGCGAAGGTAGCATCCGGTCAGTTAAACAGCTGACAAGTCTAGCAGGTCGGTAAGAAATACAGCCATCAAATGGAGAGGTCAGATCAGTTCTTATGGGAACGGAACAAATTAAAACAGTATTCGAAATAGCAAGTAAGCGATTATTGCCTTAAAAATCCACCGGCTTCTTTGACAGTGCCCCAGCCGAATGATAACGCAACAGGGAAGGTGTGCTCGGCAAATGTGCTAACCGTCGTATGTCCAAGGAGGATGGCTCTCCTGAAGAGAGGAAAAAGAAGGGTTTTCCGGACGACAGTCGATCCCCGCGTCCTTCCGCCTTCGTCTTTTTCCGCCTAAGAGCAACAGCGGCCACGGACTGTCCTGAACTACCGACCGGTGATCTGTTATCTTTTGCTTGCGCGACCTCACCAGCCGGCAAATTGTTTGATCTCAATGTACTCCAAAGAGGTTTCGGCGAGGGATTATTGGGACTGCAACCTTCACTAGCACAAAGAGTGTTTGGTGTGGTCAGGACACGCAGACGACCGACACCCAGCTCAGCTGCAATGAGTGGCCTCTTTTCAACGTCCAGTCCTGTTGCTACTGTAGCTGTCGGTGAAGAGAGCCGAGATTGAGCTTCGCGAGTTTCGAATAGTTGGCTAGTGCCGCTACGCAAGACTGCGGTCCGAGGTCGGCCACTGGCGCGTTCGAGAGCCTCCACAAACTCATTGCGTTCGAAGTCCAGTCTGCGTAGCTCTCGCTCTAGCTGGCGATCAAGAGACAGTCTGACAGTTTGTAATCGTCGACGTTCGTTGGAGTTTTTGAGCCGTACGGAACGGGCCACCCTCGGTGTTGTCGAACAACGCTCCCACTCCGTGTTCTCCCGCACCCACTGCAATTCCTCGCTACTGGGGAGGCCAGAGCCTCTCCGGCCAACCCGAGCGCTGCTGGCCCTGCGTTTAGTGTCATCTGAGGACAACGACGCATCGAGCATGGTGTTCGAAGCTGGAACACCGTCGCCTGTTGCCCTTCCACGTGAATGCCCCGCTTGTGGTGTAAAAAACTATGACTTGAGGCGTCAGAGATGTTCTTGGACGAGGTGGGACTGATTGTAGGGACTGACGTAACTACGAGCCCGGGGAGCATTGTTAAGGGCTTATGCAAATTCTCAGTCATGATCTCCACTCGGACGAGTGTGTGTGTATGTGAAATGGGTGAAGGAAAGCTGATTGGTTAGGGGAGTCTGTGCAGTCATTCGCATGTCTTTATAAAATGCACGCCGACCACTACCCAACCCACGCATCCGGGTTTCGATAAGATACAAAAACGAGTGGGCGTGAAGCTCCCCAACCTCTCTCACTATGCTAATGTGTTTCATCTTTCTCGTGAAGTAGTTTACCCATTTGGGGGCGTTTCAATCGTCGAGTTGGATGTCACGACAGAAAAAAGGCCTTGTTGCACGTGCCCACTTTATTTCTTTCCGTGAAACCCGCCGAATCGGCATCTGGGTGAACCACGTTGGGAGAATGAGTGCGGTAGACAGGTGACCTCTCGAAAGTAGAACAAAGTAACAAAGGAATTTTAAATATAAATGAAATACTAGGGGTGCTGTTATGCTTATTAGAAATATCAATTTCTTTAGGGAAGTGGGAAATTCCGAAAATGTCATAAATGGTTGTAACTGTTTACACATCATTTTTAGATGTACAAGAGGCCTGTCCATGCAAAATACTGAGTAAATATGACACCACAAATAAAATAACGTTTGAAATTCATTTTCCAGTGAAGTTTCCAGTGAAATTCGAGAATGAGAAATTTGAAAGCTTAGTTGGGAAAATCAGCATACTTCACAGTGCATTTATTTTAATCTGAATAACAATGTGCTTTTGCTTACTTTTTAGTAATGGGCCTTACTCCAACTTTGCGAAACCTATTTGAAGATCGTCGTGGCCATTGAACAAACGAAGATTGTTTGACATCAGCATTCATCTCTACCGTGAGTGCTTAAGTAGCGTTTTTAAACGGAGTTCGGAAGCTCTAGGTGGGTGGTCATTAGGGCAGATCATAGTGCGATGCTGGGATAGCAGTGGAATATGGGTTCCTAAGACACGTCGTTGCATGAGTTCAAAAATTTGCTGAATGAGTAATGAGTAGCCCCCTACCGGAGGTGGTCTTGCGCCAAGTTCCAGAGGATATCTCCTCCCTAACGCTAACCGTCTTACCCCCAAAACTAACACCAGTTCCCATAACCCTAACCCTGACGCCAACTCTAATCTTAATCCCCTTGGAATTTACCGAAAGGTTACCTGTAATAAGGGAGGTTCTTATAACAACCCTCCACCGAAGATTCAAGTAGAATCCTGAGAAATTAAGTTGGACGTGCCTTCATACAAACGTTGAGCTAGACTTTGGAACCGAGTTGGAGTTATGCCAGTCCAGACCTGTCAGCAGTTAAAAAAAAACATTCTAGCACTCAGAGAAGTGCATTGAAACTTAGCTTTACTCAAGACAAAGTATGACTTGTTAGTAGATCGTGGAGATGGAGTGTTCGGACTTTATCGTCTCTAGATGTGCCGCGCGTCACGCTGGCATTCGCCTTAATAGTCGATTTCTGTAAACACAAGCCCCCTCGTTGAAATTTGGCCTACATATTTGTGCTCATCTGTTTACTCGATACAAATGAGGGGGAGACTCGCCATAGAAGTCTACGCAGCAAGTTCATTTACCTCTCTTATTAAACTGCTGCCTGGTAGAATTTGGAGTAGTGGTTAATTTAAAAATGCTAGAAGGGCTGGAAACATCATGGAGTACCAATGGCAGATCATGCCGGACAGTACCAAAGCCACCTAACCCAAGTCACTATCTGCTCGTCATTTGACAGGTGACTTGAGTCGGTATGAGGAAATGTGAAAGTGTTCCTCAACCTCACACTCTACCTGTTGTTTCGGAGACCCAAGCGGACCCACTGGTCGTGATGAGGGAATCAAGGGTAATTCTAAGTAGCCGTTACACGATCGAAGTCTCCGGCATTATCTCCTGCCTCATCGACACATTCGTTTATGAGATTAGTTGAGTCTGCCGTTTCTGGATGACTTTCTGGCTGCACAGCTGCACATCAAGAAGGTAGACAATTTCGTTGAGGGACGCCGGATACGATGCTCAAGACTCACGAGACTCCCATATCAGATTCCAGGAGACAGAAGTGATAGAATGAGCTGTTTCGAAAGACCGCGCATTCGTATAAGAACGAGCACTGGGCTGTTATGACTGATTGTAAAAAGTGACTGTGAACATGTTCGTACGATACACCAGTGAATCCTGCATCCCATGAAGTCTCACTGGTTGGCGTAATACCAGGCACTTAAGAGTAAGATCATGCTAATTGGCCTATCTGGGAGCCCCATTAGAGTGTTTATGAAGTGGAAAAGCTCGAAGAGCATAGAACAAATGTTCTAGAGTACAGACAGTTACGCAATGCCACAACGTCATGAGTAGCGTGGAACGACACCAACTGTGCGTCAACAGCATATTGAGAAAGTTGCCATTGTACGGCACCTGGTTCGAAAGTAAGTTTGAAAAAGGAACTATGGGGATATGGCTTATACGTTTCCTGCAAATACGCAGCGTGGTGGATGGTCAAAAAAGCTATCTTGGGCAGTGAGTACATCTGCTGTTTGTTGGATGAATGTACAAAATGTCCTAGGGGTTGAAAATCATAGAATGGGCAATATTAAGAGTTACAAAATTGGCTTACATCTTCGGTAGTACCTTTGCTGCGAGGTATCGTATGTAGTGCAACCCGTGTATATGCGCTGCTGGTTCACTGTTGGCAATCTATGAATAGAGTGCGGTTAGTCCGCTGTAGCTGATGACTGATAGATGATTTGTCCCAAATACTCATACCAAATTTCAATCTGAGTCTATAAGTCCTAAATAGGCCGATTTGCCCTAAGTTAGCAATTCCTTTGAGGAGATTGAGAAGCGGCAAATTAATATATACTCAGAGCGGACTTGGTGCTTCACAGTTAGTGGCAAAGCAGTATGTGTGTAAGAGGAGCAAAGTGGTCTGGAAAAACGCCACATATGTTACGTGTGTCCATAGTGCGACCCAGAAAATGCACAACGCTCCTGATTTTCTCCTCGAAAACAAACCCTTTCAAGCGGTCCCAGACCCCCCTTTGGTTATTCGGCCGATCCGTGACGTCGCGAGCAACGATTTCCATCGTGTGCCCCACAGCATGGTGGTTGCAGGAACGGTGATTCGCGCGTCAATTAGTTTATGGTGATAGCAGCCGCGTGCCGAATCTATCGCACCAACTCTTTACTAACCCCCTGGGCCCGGTGGCAAGACATGACAAACAAGGCCGGAGGTCGGTTCAAATGCAGTGACCGACAAAGCTAAACAGCCTCCAAGTGTGCCACATAGGACCTTGGCAGTGCACGATTGACAATGCCTTCACGAATACGAGTGCGGCCTGCTCTGACCTCATCTGAGAGGGAGTATCATGTATGCCATGTTCAGATGAAGCCATTGCAGCCTGGATCTTCGTCCTGAAAGGATCTAGTTACCCCGTCAGTTGAGAGTCTTTCAAGTCCCGGCTTCAAGCGCGTCGTAATCATTTCAAGGCACATCAGATTTTCACAGTGAGGAATGCTCTGAAGCGTCGTGGGGAAGGATTTACCGAAGTCGGTGTCACTCTATCTTCCCTCTCCCATGAACCAGTCCACTTGTCGAGCCGGTCAGAAATTTGACGCTGGGATAGGGCCCAAACGTGTGGCGAGGTGCGAGTGTGCGCCTAGGCATGCAGCCACACATCAAACCCCTTGTGGAATTTGCAGAGTCCGGTTACCGCGTGCCGCTCCCTAATCTGGCCCCTGTGTTGGTCCAGCGCATCCTGCACGAGGCTCGTTGGATTGACACACACAAACGACAGTTCGACCGTCGTGACCGATGATTTCCACCGCGTGCTCCACATTAGGGTGAGATCAGGGACGGTGACTTGCGTTGGGATTAGTTTATAGTGATAGTAGACTTACGCACATATACCTCATTCTCCTGTCCTCCCCTACCTGGATCTGGTGTCAAGACAAAGTCAAGAAGACCGGATGCAGGAAAGGGTGCAGGTGGCTGACATGGCGAAAACCCGCACCTCAGCGTACCATCACACCCCAGGTCCACAACGTGCACTGATCAGAATTTTATGCAAGATAAAAGGAGGGCGGCTCAGATCCCAATTGGTGCGATCAGAGCCTGCACATGGGCGTGCCACCACCCCCAATGTTGGCATTTGTTATGGGTGCGTATTCCCGATAACGCTCACCAGATTTCGATCTAGACCCCTGTGTTTGTCCAACGCGTCACTCGCGTGACCCGTTTTGGGGGCACGTGCAGACACGCGATGCAGGCATGGCGTACACAGTGCTTGGTGCGAATGGGAGGGACGAATGCGATTTTTGAGCATGTAGGTTTGAGTATAGGAGGTTGCGATATGTTCCGAAGTGAGAGCTAATGAAAAGATTTTAAAGCAAGCAAGGACAGCAGAATTTAATGATACCATAGAATTTCGCGACGGCTTCTCAACTGCAGCCTGTCGTTGCATAACACAAATAACAAGTGAGAAAGGTACAGTGGTTTGAATTCCGACAGAGAAAATCAATGTAAGACAGCAAGGTCAACGTATACTGTGCATAAATTAATCAATAAAATGATAACTTCACATGGAAAGGCCAATACCTGCATTTCTTGAGCTTTGTGCCGATACAACGAAGGCGAAATTTGGTTTATACTCTATTCCAAAGAGCAAGAAACGTTTGCTCTATTGAAACGCTGGATCATGAAATTTCTTGCCTCAAAACAGCCCTGCTTGGACGGGGATATCCAACCCGATTCATCGAAAAGTACAGCAACACTTTACGGCCAAAATTGACGGAGCAATCTGTTCCGAAAAAGCCCTTATAATATCCTTACACTTTAAGGGCGACAAAATCTCTAAT